ACCTTTCCCTCCTCCGGGATACCCCTGTGGGGTGGTGGGGCAGAGGCCCTGGCACGTCAGGCTGACCTGCCGCAGCGAGACACCCTGACGTGACCGCCTCGGGACCGCACTGGGCGGGCGCAGGCCCGCGAGACCTGCGGCCAGAAGGCCTGCGCGAGGCCCAGACGGGGCAATTGGCGGATCGACTGGGCAGGTTGAGGGTAGGATTAGGTCGGGCCTGTCCCCCCACAGGCGGATTTGGGAAGGAGAACAAAATTGTAATCGAACTGCACCCAACACTTATTCAAAAGCACTCAAAGAATCGTCCCCAGACTATGTTTTGACTGTTCGGAAATCTTCCTCCTGCAGGAGGGACAGACCCGACTCGAGGGTCGGAGGGCAGGGGGCTTCTCAGCAGAGGGCTGCTTCTGGGGAGGCGCCCGCCGCCCCTCTTGAGCAGGCACGGGCGGGCCGCCTCTCGAAGCGCCCCAGGGAAGAGGAGGAGGAGGAGGAGGAGGAGGAGGAGGAGGAAGAGGGAGGAAAAGGAGATGGAGGAAAAGGAGGAGGAGGAGGAGGAGGAGGAGGAGGAGGAGGAGGAGGAGGAGGAGGGGTCGCCTAAGCCCTTTGGACAAACCCTCCAGGCGGGAGGGAGGGAAAGAGGGGGCGGGCGTCTTCTCAGAAAGGGGGGGCCGCGCCTTCGCAGGAGGGGTGTGCTTCTCAGGAGTCTTTCTCCCCTCCCGCCACCCGACCCCTGACCTTCGACGACTTGATGTTTTCGAGTTTCGGGCCCGGGGACAGCGACCCCGTCCCTGGGACCAGTGTTTCGTCCTGAGTTCGGCGGTGGACAAACCTCCCTTTCGTAAACCACCCTTTAGTTTAAACGGCCTAGGACCGAAACCGACGGACCTGGACCCGCAAAAATAATGGCCGAGACGCCCTCTCGCGAACCGAAGACGGCCAAATCACTAATCGACGCGTCAGGGTAGGGGGTATGCCATCCTCCGATGAGTCGCTGCTTGACAGCCCTAGGGTCCGGAGCCGGCCTCTGGCAGCCGAAATCGAAGAAACACATGCGACTCTGTCCCATCACTCCCGGGCCTGTGGAAGTCGTAAGAGGAAGAAGCAACGCCGAAAACCGAAACTTTTGGAGGCCCTCGCGGATTTCTTGGATCCGCGCTGAACCCGCCTCCCTGGCGCGCGGAACGCGCCAGGGGCGGCGCCGGAGGAGCCGCCGTGGGGGCCCAGCGCGGATCCAGGAAACGCGCGCGGAGCGCTCTTCGAATCGTCACGCCCGGGTCTGTGGAAGCCTGGCTCCGACTCTTCATCCTGCCTCGGGCACGGGCGGCCCCTTTTCTGCTCCCGAAGGGGGGGGGGCACATGGCGCCGGTCGCGGCGCCCAGTACTTACGGCGCACGGCCGGGGAGCGCGGAGAGCGCCCACAGTGGGGCCCAAGCCGATGGAGCCGGAAGATCGCGCCGCGCCGCCGATGCACCGACGGGTGCCCAGACCTCCAGCGCTGTGGAAAACTCGGTGCGGCCCTGCTGGGGTCCCTCGCTGGCCCGCTGGGCCCCTGGGGACGTCCAAAAGCAGCTCGGGACGGGAACGAGGCCCCAGGGGAAGGGTCGAGACCTCCTGGGGGGCTGGCGTGGAGAAAACCTGACTCCACGTCGAGCCGCATCGCCGATGCACCGGCGGATCGGCGCGATCCACCAGTCCCGTCTGCGACGGCTCCGTTGAGGCGACCTGGGCTTTTGCTCCCGCAGGTATCAGATGCTCGTTAAGGGGACCTGTCTGGAGCCACCCGCTCCCCCGATGCATCGATGCTACGCCGAGCATCCGTCGACTTGAGTCGAACTCGAATCCGAGTGGAATCGGGCTTGAGAAAACTAACGAAAACCGATACCGCTATTCCCCGGACCTCTCCCAGGGTGCGCTGCCACTTCAGAGCGAATACAGTAGTGGCGACGAGGGCCTCCCAGGAAGTCCAGAAAGGCGATAACGAGGGAAGGCCGGTGGTATCGGTACTCCAGATTTCGTAATAAAAAAGAGGGGGTCTGGACCCTCCAAGACAAGCCATTTCAGACCTCCCCCGTGGGAGAACCCTCCAAAACATCGTCTTCAGACCCCCCAGGCCCTCCAAGATAGCCTGGAAGAGACCCCCCCCCCGAAATGAGACACCCCTCCCTTTATTACGAAATCTGGGGTACCTTTCCCCATAAACAGCATAAACTTGAATTTCTGGAGGTCCGCGCGATTTTCTTGGATCCGCGCTTAACCCGCTGCCTGGCTCGCGGAGCGAGACAGGGGCGGCGCAGGAGGCGCCGCCAGAAGGGCCCAGCGCAGATGCAAGAAATCCGCAGGAGCTCGAACAGCCTATGTTCACGCAGTCTTTTGCTGTTCGATGACAGCTGGTGTCGAACTGGTGTCGAACCAGAGAGCCCAGACCGGCGATGTCCTGATTTTTCCAATACTGAATCCTCAGATTGGGCGTGATTTCATCGGGGGGCGATGAATGGGTGGGGGAGAAAGGGCAACTCTTCGAGCCCTCAGGGCCCCCTGTTGGGGCTGCCGATGGCCCCTTGTCTGCAACCCTCGCTGCCCCACCCTCCCCCCGTTTGAGCGACGGAAGAGACGGGTCTTACGCGAGACGGCATAGCGACCTTACCCATCGGTCGGAAGAAGTAGGTAGAAACATGAAGTAGGAAGGCGTTGGAAATAGATTGGGTTTCCGCACGCCTCCTGAAGAGGAAGGAAGAGGGAAAACCACTCGACCCTTGAAGTAGGAAGGCGCTGAAAGCAGATTGGAATCTGGGAATCCAGAAATACCTACTTTCAACGACCGATGGGCACGCGGCGGCTTACGCGGGCCGCCAGAGCGGCAAGCCACATCGGATACCGGAGACGAGGGCCCCTGCGCCCGAGAGGCTACGCGGGCAACCTGCGCGCACATGCCGGCGCAGTCGACTCCGCTTGTGGGCGTCGCTCGTGCATCGCCCCTCCCCAGTGCGCGACGCCCAACCAAGAATCCCGACCCTTTCCCCGATTTCAGCCTGTCGTCGTCCTAAGCCGTTTTTGGAACCGCCCCAGGGCCTGGTAGGGGCTCTCAGGGGCCGAGTAACTACGAATACCAACAGAATGTCCCGCCCTGATGATCTGCTTCAGGGCGCGAGCACGTCCGGGAACTGGAGTTGAACCAGAGAAATGGGGTCGAAGTAGCTGGGGTCGGACGTTCGCGCCGCATCGCCGACACATCGGCGATGCTTCGGCGATGCACGGCGACTTCGGCGACGCGTCGGCGATTTCAGCGTGGACAATCGGGCTCCACATCGAGCCGCATCGCCGATGCATCGGCGATGCGGCCCGCCCATCCGACCCCATCTACTCCGTCCCCATCGAGGAGACCTGGAAGAAAGGGCCCCCCCCTAACGAGCATCTCACAGAGGAGCCGACGCCCACCGCTCGTCACGAGGCTGTGCGGGGCCACGATTGCTCCGACGGTACTCCTGGCGGGCTTCTTCGGCCCCGGCGCCGATGATCGACCGGATGCGCCCGCTCTCGACACCCCGTGGGCCCTCTTCCCGATATCCTGGTTCGCCGTGCTTCACGCCTCCAGCGCCTGCAGCCCTGGCTTCGGTTGCCCGCCCTGCCGCAATCGTGCTGAGATTCTTCCGGCCGTGAATGCCCTAGCCCTCCCTCCTGTCCTCCGCGGCCGCTTCTCCTCCTGTGCCCCCAACCCCCCCCCTTTGCTGCCAGACAGCTGACTCGTCGAGCCCCCCCCCCCGACAGCTCGAGCGCCCGAGCGGATTGCCTCTTCCGTGCCGCGACGGCAAAACGCGTCTGTCCTCGGGCGCAAGCTCTGGCCAGCATGTCGAGGGGAACTCGGGTCGGGCGAAAGGGGGGGATAGCAAAGGGGGGGTTTGAGAATCGGCTCACGTAGCTGATTTTCCTGGCGCCTCCCGGCGCCGGAGGCGACCACGTATCGAGGAATGGGCCCCTCGGTGGGGCCGAAACCAGCTGCATGCAGCAGATTTCGTAACCCCCCCTTTCCCAATCCCCCCCTTTCGTCCGGCCCGGGGAACCCAGCCGTGCCCGCGCGATACCTGCGGGAGGCCCCCCTTTGTGAACGGGCGCATGGCCGTGCCGCGCGGGCCGCCCGTCCTCGACCCCTCCAGGGACTGCCCCCCTAGAGCTCTCCAGGGGTGCGCTCAGGAGGAGGAGGAGGAGGAGGAGGAGGAGGAGGAGGAGGAAGAAGCCCTTCCTGGGCGGACCCGGCCGCGGCGACGGGAGCACCCCAGGGAGGCTCCGAAGGGGCGAAGCAGCTGCGAAAGCAGGAGCCTCGGACCGCGATCCCGGCGCCTCGATCCACGAGCCTCCCTCGGCAGATGGCCATGAAGGCACGAAGGGGGGGTCCTTGGGTGCGAGGCGCGAGCGATCGTCTGGGAACTTGGCGGGCGGTGGGCATGGACACGGTGAGGGCCTCCTTAGGGCCCGAACACGGGTCCTCAGGTGTGATGCGCTGCGTCCGCGGAACTCGCGACGCCTTCCTCAAACCCCCATCGAGTCATGGCGACAATCACGGCAAGCAGCTTTTGACTGTGTTGGGCCTCTGGGGGCCCTGACCAGTCCTCGGGGCCGTCAGAAAACCACTCGGGACAAGAAACTGGCCCCGTGGAATGGATCGAGGCCTCCAGTCGACGTTATAACGGAAATCATGACGTCGGGTGTCTGGGCCCCCGTAGGGGAGTCCTCTTGCGCTCTCTGGTGCCTTGTCTGGTGCTGGCCTTGAGACGCGCCCCCCACAACGTGCTGCTGATTGGGTCATGGTACTTTGAATTGCACGGATTTTGCCGCCCACCCACCCCTCTCCTTCCCCCTTTCCACACGGAGCCCTCCCCCCGCCTAAGAAAGGCTGCCTCTCAGACGCCACACCCGAAAAGAGAGCGCCGGTCGGAAAACAAGGTCGTCGGAGATATGCCCTCTTGGATCAGCGCGGGGGCCTGCTAAGGGCACAGCAGGATGGCAAGTGCGCTCTAAGGTGGGTTATGTCCAGCGTGGTCTGGCCTACCAGGTGTATAGGGGGTTTGGCTGAGTGGGCGGAGCCCACTTAGGTTGAATCTGTTCCCCCCTGAGCCGTGCAAGACACTGGTAACCAGATCATACGGTTAGCGTTGGGCAGATAACGTGCATTATCGATATCCGAAAATCACGCTATCCCTGCGAGGTGGTCCCCCCGCGAGGGCCCTTCTGTGCACACCAGTAATCTCCCTGCCAGGGCATCTTCGGTGCACGCTATCCCCAAGATTGGGGATTGCGACCGTCGGTCGTGCAGTTTTTCTGCCCCCTGCCACGGCGCTACTCCTGCGCTGGTGGAAAACACATCCCCTCCTATGCCCTCAGCACCCCCCGCGCCGATACGAGGGACGACGGGCGCGGCCGCCACGGGAGCTGGGAAAATGCCCCCAAGGGCCGACGCTGAATCGACGCTCATCATCGCTTATTCACGCTAAATCGGTGCTACATCATCGATTACCAAACGCTAGTCCACGCTAGTTCACTCTGAAGACGGAACTGCGAGGGCATAGCATATAGAAGGCCCCCACGAATCGCTACGGGGTCTTCCTCCTGTGAAGATCGTCGGAGATCTGGACGTCCCTCAGATATAGAGGAACAAAAACCTGCAAACATACTGTGTCGGAGGTCATCGCGGATTCTTCGATCGGCGCTGGAACCCTCTCTCTGGCGCGCGGAGCGTGCCAGGGGCGGCGCCGGAGGCACCGCTAGGGGGGACAGCAGCGATCCAAGGAAAACCGCGCGGAGCTTTCAAAGTTTGTAGTTGTGTTGTTGAACAGGAATGTAGGAACAGGGAACAGGAATGAAGAAGGACGAGGACGAGGACGAGGACAGGAGAACAGGGAACAGGAACAGGAACAGGGAACAGGAATGGAGGAGGACGAGGACGAGGACAGGACAGGGAAGTTCGAGGGTAGAACAGGGAACGGGAATGAATGAGGACGAGGACGAGGACAGGGAGGAGAAGCTTCCCCGCGCCTCCTCCTCCTCCTCCTCCTCCTCCTCGTAATCGTCCTCGTCCTCCTCGTTCTCCTCCTCCTCCTCCCTCCTTCCTCCTCCTGCCCTGTCCTTCCATTCGGGCGGGCGGTCATGTGGGGTGCCCCAACTGGGGGGCGAGGCAAAGGGCCCCCCGAGGGGCCTTTGCAGGTCCCCTGTGGGAGCCCGCAGGGGCCCGAGAGGGGGCCTCTGCATCGGAGTCGCGCAAACATGGATTAGCGATCCATGGATCTGGCGCGCGGTCGCCAGATCCATGGATCGGGGGAGGTGCCCTCTGCAAAATGACGAACCAACAACACACACCCATACCCATAGGGGGGTCGGAAAGGGCTATGGGTGCGTGTAGTCGGATGGGGGTCCCCGCTCGAACGGGAGCGTTCCCTAGGGTCCGACAACACGCACCCATACCCATAGCCAGTCCTCCTCCCAACGACCCCCTTATGGGTATGGGTGTGTGTGTGATTCGTTCGTCACAAAATGCGACCGAAGCCGCCTCGCTCGACGGCGGAAAGCCGCGATTTGTAAAAACAACGGGGACCGTCGCTAATCCACGCCCCCTTGATCCATGTTTAAGATCGCCTGAAGGGGCCCAAAGGGGGCCTCGAGGGCCCCTGAGAGGCTATTTTCTTCACCCGCCCATGTAGGTCACCCCCCATCACCAACCGCCCGATCTATGATTCGTGGGGAAGCCGAAAGGTACTGATACCGCTACTCCCCGGACCTCCCACGGGGTGTGTTCTGACCAGGATTTCGAAGCGAATCCAGCGGTGGCGACGAGGGCCTCCCAGGAGCCCCACAAAGTCAAAAACGGGCGAGGGGTAGCAGTATGGGTACCTTTTCCTCCTCCGAATGTGGATGCTGTGCCCATATCTCTCCCTCCTCACAGCACCGTCGGAGCTTCGGCCCCCCACACCCTATGCCCAGGGCTGGCCGCCGCCGCCGCGGGCGTTGCTCAGGGCTCGCGCTACTCCTCCTGGGCCTCCTGCAGCTCCTGGCCAGGGCCCGCCCGTCTCATGGGGAGGTAGAGCCTTTTTCTTTCTGTTCGGCGATAATGGGCATCAGAAGGGGGGGGAGGGGCCAAGGGGGGGGGGTATAATGTAACGCCTCCCCCCCCACCGTGCGCACGGCGGCATTGCCCGGAGCGCACCGGGGGGGGAGGGGCGTTACGTTATAGGGGCCTGGAGGGGGGGCCGGGGGCTATAATGAGGTGGGATGGGGACAGAGGTGGGGCTGGGAGGAGAAGACCAATCCAAACGGCCCCTGGAAGAAAGAAGTGTGACCATCCCACTGGGCTCGCGTTTCACGTTGGTCAAGCATTAGCTCGGCGCTGTTGCGTCCCTGAGCGAATCAGACTCTTCTAGAGACATGATCCCCAAAATGTTCCCAAGAGGACGAGTGCGAGAGGAACAAAAGCGCAAAGTCGGCGGCGAGCGAGGAAGGCCTTCTCAGAAGGCGGCTGTACTTCTCAGAAGCCATCGCGACTTCTGACAACATTTCTCTACGTTCGGGGAAGGCTCAGATAACTCCTCGGAAATCTGGGGGAGTTCCGAGCACTCTGAGAATGCCTTCTCCTTCTCACTTACCCCCTGTGCTCGCCGCCGAGTGAAGTGCGGCAGTACAGTAGAGGGGCTCGACCCCAAGGAGCCTTCAATAAGAGACCCAACCCTGAGACCCCAGGGCGTCCATTGCTTTCTGGTGTGGGAACGTCACGCTTTCAACGGCAAAGCTTTAGGTGACCCGAAAGGGGGTCCAGCTGAGAGGGGGTGGTGCAATAGATTTGGGGCAATTGGATTGCAAATGTGTTGCGCTGAAGAATTGCATTGCAAGTAGTGCACTGCACGAAAACCCAGCAATACATCTGCGCCCCAGAACGTACTGCACGACCCTAATGCACTGCACCCCCACAAATCTATTGCACCAGATCTATTGCACCACCCCCTTGTCGCTGGACCCCCGTTTGGGTCCACCCGAAAAGCCATCGAAACCCAAGAAACCCAGCGCACCCTGGAGGCAAGCACAGGGGGTGTTTCTTGGCATGGGCACCCACTGTAGGGCAGGGGCGCCGATCCGGGGCCGCCCGGCGCGCGCGCGCGAGGGCGGAAAGGGTGAGGACCGAGGCTCGAGGAGGAGGAGGATCGAGGAGGATCGAGGAGGATCGAGGAGGATCGGGGAGGAGGATCGAGGAGGAGGATCGGGAGCTACAGGGCCGATAGGGGGACCTACCATGGGCAACGCACGGTCCCAAACGCGACAACACTTGCGTGCCAAACGCGCTGCCCCCGCTCCGAGACAACGCCCGCCTCGGGTGAGCATCCGTGACCAACACAGTGCTAGAGCCAGTAAATCGATGATTCGAGGAGGGGGGTCGAGGATCAGAAGGAATGAGGACGCAAAGATCGATGTTGGAGGCCGGCGGGAGAAGGAGGATCTAAATTTCCAGACTTCGGGCGGATTGGCTTGCACAGTCGCGACAAGTTCCCAACTATCGGAAGCCTCTGTTGCCAGGGCAATCAACTCCGCCGTGCCCCCTGGCACGTTGAGGCGTGCCATCATGCCAAGTGCTGCCAGGCAGGTTTTCTGTAGTCTTCTAGACCCCCCCTCGTCACACTGCCCTTCATGCATCATGCATCGCCCTCTCTCCTGGAGGACCCAAACCTTGGCCACATCCGCCGACCCTGTCCGCGCGTGTGAGGCGCTTCTTCGGCTCGAGTCGTCGTCGTCGTTGCCGTCGCCGCACCCCTCCCTCCCCCTCAACCCTCCTACTCAACCGATCCAGGCAAACGAAACTCGAGCAACGTCGCACTTGTGTCACAGGGAAGCCCTTGCCTCTGATCCCTTCCCCGCCCGGGGAGGGGGGGGGGGCAGGGGGAGGGGGGCAACCGCGGGTCGTGTGGCCCTCCCCCCCCCGCGCAGGTCACCCCCGTGGACAAGGGGAACTCGCCCCCCCCCCCTCTCTCCCGCTCCACCCCCTGTCGGGGCCGCGCCAACGTGGATTAGCGATCCTCCCTTCTTGCTTATTATGTCCCCTGCTTCCCTCCCTCCTCCTTCCTCCTCCTCACTTATCCTGCCCCGTGCCTCCCTCCCTTCTCCATCCCCCCCCCTCACGGGGCGCGCAAACATGGAGTTGTGATCCATGGATCTGGCGTGCGGTCGCAAAGTCCATGGCTCGGGGGAGGTGCCCTCCCCCAAAATGCGACCGGTGCCGCCTCGCTCGGCGGCGGAAAGCCGCGATATCCCATGGAAACGGGACCCGTCGCTAATCCACGCCCCCTTGATCCATGTTTGCGATCGCCTGTCCCTGGTCCCCCCTGAGGACAAGGGGGGACAAGGGGCGGTCCCCCTGCGGACGGTGGGGACTCGATGCCCCCCCCCTCTTCCCCCCCCGGCGCCCCCCCCCCTGTGGACACAGGGGGCGGGGGCGGGGTACCAGTGTGGGCATGGAGAACTCCCCCTCCTTCCCGCCGCATCCCCCTCCGAGGTCTCAACTAACATGGGGGGCAAAGTGGTGGCCCCCCTGTGGACAGGCTGAACTCAAGACTCCTCCACCCGCCTCCCCCAGATGGACAAAAGAACAACCCACCCCCATCCTCCCGGATCCCCCCCTCCGCGAGGCACCTTCCTCAGTGTTATTTACTGTTGCGGGGCGCTCTTTATGTTCTCCCATGCCTTCAACAGGCCTCAGATCAGCCCCGAGGCGGCTCCAAGTGACCACGGAGTTCCCAAGAAGTCCCCCGAGAGGCCGTAATTCAGAGCACCATAGGCTACCAAAAAAGCCCCACGCAGGGCTCCAGAGCGTCAGCGTCGTTGTCGTCACGGCCGCCGCCGTCGCCACCTTGTCGTCGTCCACCTGCAGGGTCAGCGGCACCGGCCGCAAGACCTTCCTTCCTAATGCAACCGGTTCGCCATTGGGAGGCCAAGATGCCTCCCAGATGGCCCAATACAGCTCCAAGTCGGCCCACTTTGGGCTCTAGACGGCCGCAGAGGCCGTCGAGACGTCCAATGGGAGCCCCAAGAGCCTGCCTAAGAGGGCCTCGAGAGGCAGAAGTCAATGACTTGCACCAGATAAAAAAATGTTGTTGGGATTCTCGCCTTTTCGAGCTTCGGACGTCCCACGACTTAACGGGCGAAGAATAAAGTTTATTCTATACCGTTCTTCGCTCGCTGAACGACAGTCCACCAGGCAGAATCCTTGGTTTGTCGAAAGTTGTTCAATGCTTTAGGTTACTCGCCTGTTCGAGCGTCTGACGCTCCAAGACCAGCCCGAGAGGCCCCCAACACTGCCCTGGGGCGGCTCGAGAGGCCCCCAATAGAGCTCCCAGACGGCCCACGAGGGCTCCAAGACAGCCCCAGAGGGCCCTAAGACGGCCCGAAGAAGAACCCGAGAGGGGAACACGGACCGAGCATCCGAGCAGTTCCCCCCAGGAGGCCCCCAGCAGTTCAAAAGATGCTCCCAGAAGGGCCACGAGAGGCAAGACGAAGTGGTGCTTCTCCAGTTGTTCAATGTGTCGGCCCCAGGAGGCCCCCAAGAGGTGCATACATACAGACTCCTATTACATATGTATTATATACACACAAATAATTATTGTATGTATGGATGTATAGATGCGTGCATGAATGTATGTATGCATGCGTGCATGTATGTATGCAGATATGTGTGTAAGTACGTGCGTGTATGTATGCAGGCGTGCGGGCATGCAGACATGCATGTGTGGCTGTATATGTGTATGCGTGTGTGCGTGAATGTGTACATGTATGTATGTCGGTGTGACTTTATCTATGTATGGATGGATGGATGTACGTATGTACATTTATGTATGTGTGTTTAAATGGGTAGGTGTGTCTGCATGTGAGTACGTATGTGTACACCTGTATGAATGTAGTTACATCTATAAATGTATATGTATGTGTGTGCGTGGGTGCACGCATGTATGCATATGTGTATGTATGCGTGCAGGTGTGCATGTATGTGATTGTGTGCATGTATGACTAACTGTGTAGTTGTGCATGGCTATGTGTGCATGTGTGTGCATGTATGGATGCGTGTATGTATGTATGTATGTATGCATGTATGTGTGTATGTATGTATGTATGTATGTATGTATGTATGTATGTATGTATGTATGTATGTATGTGTGTGCGTATGTATGTATGTATGTGTGTTTGTATGTATGTATGTATGTATGTATGTATGTAGGTATGTGTGTATGTATGTATGTATGTATGTATGCATGTATGTATGTATGTATGTATATATGTATGCGTGGGCGTACGTGAATGTGTATGTGTATCCGTATGTGTATGCGTGTACGTGTTTGTGTATGAGCATGCGGGCGTGTAGATAATGTATCTACACATGCGTGTATGTGCATGTGTGTAACTGGAAACGTATGCGCAGGCACCTATGAAACTGTATACGTACATGTATGTGTACATTACTGTGCATGTACACGTACATGTATATGCTTGTATATGGATACATGTATACATACACATATCTATGGTTTCCTGTATGTATATGTGTATACATGTCCATGTGCATGTGCATATGCAGGTCGTGATACATGTGTTTGAATGACATTTATACATGTAAGGATATACCCATATTTGTATACGTATATCTGCACATGTGTATATATATATATACATATCTATATATACATATATTTGTTTGGAGATATCGCCTCTCCAGGTGTCACACGTCAGGGCCCCCCCTATCCCCCTCGCGCAGCGACCACCGAGAGTATAGTGCCGGCACGGCGGCGGGACCCGCCGCAGGCAGCGTGATGGTAACCTTGATGCGGAGTGCTGCCCCAACGGACGGGGTTGAGACCTCCACCCGCGTGTTCGAAACAGTATGTACAGTCGAGCTTGATTAGTAGGTCGACCATGTTAAATCCGGGGCACTCTTGTGGCCTAACCCGACCTATGCAGACCGCATTTCTTCGGGCGTTCCAGGGCCACGTTGCCATCGGAAGAGTCTTGTGTCCTCTC